TTGATTAGCTCTAGTAATTTTCTGGTAGAGTCTTTAGGGTTTTCTATGTAGAGGATCATGTCATCTGCAAACAGAGAGAGTTTCACTTCTTCTTTTCCTATCTGGATTCCTTTTACTTCTTTTTCTGCCCTGATTGCTGTGGCCAAAACTTCCAAAACTATGTTGAATAGTAGTGGTGAGAGTGGGCACCCTTGTCTTGTTCCTGATTTTAGGGGAAATGCTTTCAATTTTTCACCACTGAGGATAATGTTTGCTGTAGGTTTGTCATATATAGCTTTTATTATATTGAGGTACAATGCTATCATTTTAATCTGTTCAGCTTTTGTTAGAGACAGATGCTGAATTAGATTAAAAGCTTTCTGACCATCTATTAAGACTGTCTTCTTTGTACTTGTCACTATTTCTACTGGAGTGGCGTGCAGTAACAGACAGCAAGTAGTCCAGCATTAAACATTTAACTTGTGCTTGCTTGTGGAATCAAAACACTCCAGCTTAAGTCAACAGCACCCAGGAATTCAGGGAAAATACTCTTGCTAAGTATCTGAAATTACTATTATTACCCACTGTTAAAGAAGGAAAAACAGGTAAACCTACAATATTAAAAAATTCAACATAGAAATACCAGGACTTATGGAAAAGTTAACCAAGGAAGCTTATCAGTTATGAATTACTTTCTGAAACACAGACTAAAAGAATGGAAATAAATGTCTTAAAACGCTCACAGGTTTCTGTCCATCAGCCTAGTCTAATGACTATGGCATTGGCTGTGAGTGTTTTGGTTTTCATTTTCTGAATTCTATCAATTTGAAGAAAAATAAAATACACTGTGAAGCTATTCCAAACTTTTAACTTCATTAAAATAATACAGACACTATTTAGAAAAAATAGAGAGAATACCTAGGACTTCTCTAGAAAGCACAGTTGACTAACACTGTTCCCAAAGTATTAAAATAAGTCTAAATACCCACATATTGATAATTAATAAGAATCTACAGAACAGCACAGAGAACTCTCCTCAGTGCTGTTTTTTGACCTATACAAAAAGAGAATCTAGAGTGGATATATGTATAACTGATCCACTTTTTCACCTGAAACTAACACAACTTTGTAAATCAACTATACGCCAATAAAAATTAATGCTAAAAATCATAAACAAACAGATAAACAAATACCCACATAAAAAAGTAAGATCAGATGCACAACTGAATCAATACAACAAATCTATCATCGAGAGTAGGCAGAGATTTCTCAGTGGGTGAACAGCACACACACAGATTCATAAAAATCCTGTCAATAAAGCAATTCAAAATGCCGTGACAACGCCCCTGCCCCATCCTAAACAGCAAGAACTGCCTTAGCACGAGCACTGTTGACTCTTACCGCCAGGGGACTCTGCTGCTTGGCTGGCTGGCCGTGTGTCCCGTTCGTTCTCTTCTTTTGATTAGGTGAATCTTGATACTGTTTTCTGCCATTTCCCCTTATACTTTGATTCTGTTTTTCCAATAAGAAATAAAATGTAAACGTACAGCACAATGTAACAGGATAAAACAATATACCCCTATGAATATATTGAGCTGGTTCAATCAGAGTTCAGCAAAGCCCCCCAAAATCTTCCTAAAACATCGAAGAACCACTATCAACATCTTTCATTATAGAGAGCTTCACAGAACAAGAATCCTCAAAAGATACGAAATAGCAAATACAATGTTCCCTAGGAACAACTTTGAAAACCTTATGACTATCAAAGAAAATCTCTCTGTGAAGGAACACTGAGGCACGCTGACTTCAGTCCTTAGAGCAGGAAACAAACACCAGATGTGATCACTGTTACCCTAAAACCTGCTGTAAACTATTAATTAGTAGGAATTTTTTAAATTAATAATCTTTTTATATAAAATAATAAATAAGACTGGTTTGGCTCAGATGGTAAAGAATCTGCCTGCAATGTGGGAGACCTAGGTTCAATCCCTGGGTTGGAAAGATTGCCTGGAGAAGGGAACAGCTACCCACTCTGGGATTCTGGCCTGGAGAATCCCCATGGACAGTCCAAGCAGTCACAAACAGCTGGACACAACTGAGGGAATTTCACTTTCACTTTTAATCCCTAAATTTAGACCTAAAATCTAAACATGCAGTAGTTGACATCTTCTTATTATATTGCTTAAACATGAGTTAATTTAATTTTCTTGCAAATAATTCTAACTTTAACTTAAAACAGTTTTTAAACATTAATTTGGCCTTAAAGATCTTAAAAACAGTTATTTAAGAGAACTAGCTAAAACAGTGAAAAGAATAATTTTATTATTTTACAATAAATACATTATGTACATCCTATCTACCTACAGAAAAAATTAAGTAGTTCCTAAAATAGCTTGAAAACAATAACTTAAAGAAAGGAAGGGAAATAGCTTTCAGAGGCTCATGTTAGCAGATACCTTTAACTCCATTTCATTCCATTCTTTTTGATATTTACTTTTCTACTGTGTACCATATACATAAAACTTACCATCTGAACCACTTTTAAATGGACAGTTCAGTGACAGTTAAGTACAGTCAAAAAGTTGTGCAACCACCACCAGTATCCATCTCCAGAACTTTCCCATCACTGAAGCAGAACTTTGTCTATTAAATATTTCCATTTTTTCCTGTCTCTCAGCTCTGGTAATCTCAAATTAATTAGTGGAATCATATAGTATTTGTCCTTTTGTGTGTGAGGTTCATCCATGTTGTAGCACATATGTGTAATTTCACTCCTTTTAAAGGCCAAATAATATTCACTGTATGTTGACTTTGTTTATCGATTAATCTTTTGACACACATGTAGGTCGCTTCCACCTTCTGGCTACCATGAACAGCACTACTGTGAACACTGGTATGTAAGCTCTCTCTGAGTCCCTGCTTTCCATTCTTCTGAGCATGAACCGAGGAGCAGAGCCGCTGGGTCGCATGGTAATTCTATGTGTACTTTTGAGGAGCCACCAAGCTACCCAATGGCAGCTGCACCATTCTACATTCCCACCTGCAATACACAAGGGTTCCAACTTTTTTACATTCTTGTCAACTCATTATTTTCCATTTTTTACTACATTTTTATTACTTCAAAACTGGGCATTTTTTCATGTACTTACTGACCATGTAAATGTCTTCTTTCAATAAAAGTCTATTCAAGTTGTTGTGTACTCATTTTTTTTTAATTGTTTCTTCTTTGCTGTTGTTGAGCTATAGGAAGTCTCCATATATCCTGGATATAAACCCCTTAGATATGTGATTTACAAACTCTCCCATTCCATGGGTGTTTTTTCTCTTTTGACAGTGACCATTCAAGCACAGAAGTTTTAAATTCTGATGAACCCAGTGTATTTGTAAAAGAAGAGAAGTAAAGAGTGGTACCCAAATAGATGGTTAAAGTAACAGACAGGTAATACCAAAGATCAGTAAGGATATGGAACAAATGGAACTCTCAAATATTTTGCAGAGGATACAAAGTACTTTAGAACATTGTTTGCAGTATATACTTAAGAACATAGGCATATGCACTGCTCCAACAATTCTATCTACTCAGAAGAACTGTGTATGTTCATCAAAATACATGTACAGAAATATTCCTAGCAGTATGATTTGTAGAAGCCCCAAGTGGAAACAACATGTTCACTAATTAGAATGGATAAATAAACTATGATATAATCAAACACTGAAGAATGACACAGAATGAACCTTTCACTGGTAGTGTATTTACCAAAATCAGATGTTACTGGTAATTCATATTCCTTACTACACTGGATTAATACCAAAGCTATAAAAGTTAGGAGTCTCATCCCAGCTTCAAGTAACAACTCAGAAACACAGGTGCCTTGGATGAACAACTCAGAGCTCTACAACTGTTAATATGCAATGCCTCAACTCAGATACATTTCAAAGTCAAATGATCTTAAGTTAATGAAAATCTTTAACTGCATTACCACTCACCTTTGCCTTTAAAAGATCAGACATTTCAGCATGGTGATTATTATATGGTTTATGCTGCAGGGGCTGCCGGTGCTTTACCCACTGGTCACCAGGAGAACCTTCAGGAAATAACTGCTGACTGTGGCGGAATTTGGTTCGACTATAACAAGATTTAAAAATAAAAATAATATCAGAAAATTTTTACTGATACTTCTTCCCAAACCTTGAGAGTTTATCTAACAGACTATAAATGTTACTTTATTCACTGTCTCCCCTCACTGGAGTTTAAATTCCACAAGGGCAGAGGATTCTTATCGACTTTGTCTACTGCTTTACTGCCAGAACCCAGAATGCCTACCACTCCACATTTCTTGAATGGGGTGATAATCTGTTATTTTTAGTCCCAAACTTTTCTAAATTGTTGATACCACCTCCTCCTATAAATGACTGTACTTTTAAAAACCTGGCGAATCTGCTGGCAGCCCAGTGGTTAGAACCCTGCATTTCCACTGCAGGGGACTCAGGTTCAAGCCATGGAAGAAGAACTAAGATCCTGCGAGCCTCGCAGCCTGGCCGAACAACAACGGAAAAGAACCTGAAGGAAACAACTCTTTCACAAATTTAGTAAATTTAGTAATGAAGCCAATAAGTAAAGCTATTCTACATAGACATGTGTCAGTGGATTTTTGTAACAGGGCAGACAATTCAATTCCTTACTAGGATGCTTAGGTAGAATTTGACCCTGCACAGGTCAGTATGGACCCTCCATGATGGAAGATCTGAGAAACTGAGCTGTGTTGTTGTTGTTCAGTTGCTAAGTCATGTCCAACTCAATGATGCCATCTAACCATCTCATCCTCTGTCAACCCCTTCTCCTCTTGCTCTCCATCTTTCCCAGCAGCAGGGTCTTTTCCAATGAGTCAGCTCCACACATCAGGTAGCCAAAGTACTGGAGCTTCAGCATCAGTCCATCCAACGAATATTCCTGGTTGATTTCCTTTAAGACTGGTTGGATCTCCTTGTAGTCCAAGGGACTCTCAAGAGTCTTCTCCAACACCACAGTTCAAAAGCATCAATTCTTCGGCACTCAGCCTTCTTTACGGTCCAACTCTCATATCTATACATGACTACTGGAAAAACCATAGCTCTGACTACACAGACCTTTGTCTGCAAAGTGATGCCTCTGCTTTTTAATACTCTGTTTAGATTTGTCACAGCTTTTCTTCCAAGGAAATTAAGGAGTTCAAAATGATAGATAAGCATATTAAATAAAGATGCAATCTCAAATACTTATACCAAAGAAATCAACTGTAATAATTTGTAGTAAAGATAAATTGTATTCTATAGTACCACTTACATATATTAATATGGTCCAGAGTCGCTGATCCCAAGGTCCATATTATAGTAAGATTGTTTCTAAATATTTCAGAATCTGTCCCCTTTTCCATTTAAAAACTGTAATTAAATTGCAGGCTCTCTTTCTTTAGACAAAATTCAAGTAATTCCTCCAACACACCATTAGAGTTAGTCTATATGCTAAAAAGAGACATCATCCTGCCTGAGAAACCTGAAATTTGTTTGAGAAGTTGTTTCATTATTTCCTTATTCCATTCTCTAGGATCACAAACCCTAATACCGACTGAAAGATGTGGGAATCATATCATATCAGTATGGATGACAGATTCTTAAACAGTGACACATTTTCTTTTCAAACACTATCACTATTTCATAACTTTATAATAGTGATTGGGTTTTTAAAATCATGACTACATTCCTGTTTTTTCTTTTTTCTGCTTCAGTTATATCTAGTAGTAAATACTTTGGTGATTATAGTCACAGATTCTGAAAGGCACAAATGACTTTCAAGGCATTTAATCCAATCTCCTGTCCTCATAAAATCCAACTAAAATGGAATATTACCTATGTATCTAAAAAATATTGACTGTAGGTATGCTTTACTCCTATTGTTTACTTTTAAAGCTCCAGGATTAAAACAAAGCATCTAAATTAGGGAAAATTTAGAAAGCAACTCTCTCTGAACCTAACAAGGCAAATACATATACTTATTTCAGAAAATTATATTGAAAGGACTGACGGTGACGGTGGAACTCCAATACTTTGGCCACCTGACGCAAAGAGCTGACTTATTTGAAAAGACCCTGATGCTGGGAAAGATTGAAGGCGGGAGGAGAAGGGGATGACACAGGATGAGATGGTTGGATGGCATCACTGACTCAATGGACATGGGTTTGAGTAAACTCCGGGAGTTGGTGGTGGACAGGGAAGCCTGGAATGCTGCAGTCCATGGGGGTCGCAAAGAGTCAGATAGGACTGCGTGACTGAACTGAACTTCAGAAAATTACTGAGCCTACTCTATAATTGTGACTTGGATACAATTAAGTCCCAAACAAGAAAATGCTCTTTGCAGTTCTTATCCATGTAATACTCACTCCTTATAACAGACAGTCTAGGCTAGGGAAAGAAAAGGTGCGAGCCCAAGTCTTCACAGCGCTGCCTCTCTGAACAAACTATACATCAGCACCCTCATCTCCTCCTCAAAGAAAAAGACATTCAACCACATACAGAAACACAGTTATTTCTAAAGTAAAGATATGAGAACACAGAACAAGCACTATGAATACATACAGAGAGAGAAAAAACTATTTTCTTTTCCTCATACTCTAACTATACATCTAAAAAGCTGACACTCTCTTGTGTATACTATTTTAAAATATGCCTGAAGCTCCTTTGTAACTTCAATTAACCTCTCATCCAAAAACTACCCCTTTAAAATGTCTATTATCTGTGAGACTAGTAACAAAATAGTACCTATAAAAGGAAGCCAACACCTCTGCAGACTTTGTAAGCAAAATGCTACTAATGTATTAAAAAAGACCAAAAAATCAGAACCCAACACATCTGTTTCTTTACCTCAATTTTTCCACAGTGGGTTTAGCTGGTGTGCTACCAGCTGAGGAAAATCCATTGTCACTATCTGAGGAATCTCCAAATCTTCGAGAAAGCCAGTCCCTTAATGGTCTATGGAGACATTAAGAATTCACTTTTAAAACTTGGCTATGTAAAGAAACTATCAGAATTGTGAAGTTTCATATTTTAAAAAATACAAACATACCTGATAAAAGGGATGGCCATAAAAAATTTGTTTGGTGCCAAACCAAGTTTGGATTTTGGGGTCATATCATTTCTATGGCAAGGCAATTTCTCAATGGAGAACCACTCAATATTCTGAAACACAAGAAAATTAGTTATTATCAAGGAATTTCTAAAAGCAATTTCTAGCATCATTTTTAATTAGACACCATCAAGCAACCTGAAAATTCTTCTTAATTACATACCCGGATTTCTCTTCTGGTTTTTGGGTTAAATTTTGTATCTTTTGGAATTCCTGGAATGATGTACAAACGAGCAAGCTGATCATTGATCCGAAGTTCAATGTAATCATCCTTACAAATATAATCTTTAATATCAAAACCAGTTTCTTCAAAGACCTGGAAATAATAAATCTGGATGATGATTTTCAAGTTTGGCTGTTAGACCTTCAGTCCATTAATATTTGCTTATTTCAAAGTCAAAAATTCAGAAATATCCAGGCAATTAAAGACATAAAAACACTAGGTAAAAAAAATCACAGTATTTCAGGGTCTAGCTCTTGCTGTGTCTCTATGGAAAAACCTCCTCACACATCTAAGCCTAAGTCTTTTCAGCTGTTCAATAAAGGGAAACATGTGATTTACAATAATATATATTTGGTAACTGTCCCCTCTTCTGGTATAAGAGCTCCTGAAACGGCTGGAATGTCTTAAATGATAAAAGCAAAAGTATCTCTGCTTTTTATCTAGGTCTCCCTCATTGTGGGCAGATTCTTTACCAGCTGAGCCACAAGAGCAGCCCAAAAGTATCTTTACATCCTGTTAATTATGTGACTTCTGGAGTCCACTTCGGGAATTAACTTGGTTGCCAGGTGATCAAGAGCGCTGAAACTCAATGGGCCCCTCCCCCCCACCTCCAGGAAATAAACTCAGTCAACCCCATAAAAAGCAAAAAGGGGTGTTTCTGGTTTGAAAAACACATGTAGATTTGGGGATAGTGGTGCCAGAGAAGATAGCAAGAAAGTTCCTCACTTTTTCTGTACCTTGCACCCTAAGTATTTATGTCTTCCATCTAGTTATTCCTGAGTTATATCCCTTTTCTGTAATAAACTGGAAAACTTAATAAGAAAAACGTTTCTGAATCCTATGAATCACTTTAGCAAAAACTAATCAAATGCAAAGAGGGGGCTCAAAAGCAGAAGTGACAACCTGGACCTCGCAACTGGCATCTGAAGCCAAGAATGGTCTTATGGGACAGAGTCCTTCACCTCTGGAATGTGACGCTACCTCCAGGCAGAAGGTGTCAGAACTGAGCTGAAATGTAAGTCATGCAGTTGATATCCAAAACCTGTTCACTGGTGTGGGGAAAACAATCCCCTGTGCAAGTGTGTACACGCACGCGCAAGTGTGTACGCACATGCACGCACGCACACACAGACACACTCTATAATTGGGTGCAAAACCCTTAAGATGTTAGAATACATCAGTCGTTCCCACTCCGTGGGAATAATATGAACCTCATATGGATTTAATTCACAGTAACCACAAAAGTACGTGTATAACCAAGCTACAGAATGAAAAATGTCTTATACAAAGAAAACCATTCTTCAAACACGAATGTTTAACTGGGATTAATACTAATATTTCAATGGACAGATTCCAAGAAAATAGCTACAACCACCTTTGTGCCCAGGGTGTAGTTAGCTGCAGTCACCATCTGCAGTGATTTTGGAGCCGCAAAAAAATAAAGTCTGCCACTGTTTCCACTGTTTCTCCATCTATTTGCCATGAAGTGATGGGACTAGAAGCCATGATCTTTGTTTTCTGAATATTGAGCTTTAAGCCAACTTTTTCACTCTCCTCTTTCACTTTCATCAAGAGGCTCTTTAGTTCTTCTTCACTTTCTGCCATAAGGGTGGT